GGGTTTTTCAGAGCTCCCTGCCTGACCAACAGCACATCTGAGGCTCTTTTCTTTACTGAAGGAGGCAGGGGAGATTCCAAAATGGAGATCTCAACCCCAGGAAAAAGGGCAGACTCCAAACCCAAAGAGATACTTTCTAAGCCAATAACTGCAGAGAGCCTGCAGTCTGGCTTTCCAGGCTCTGATACCCTTTAACTTCCAGGGGGCTGCTGGGTCTGTAGTAACCCTGGAGAAACGCAAAGGAATGCTATCCCATGCAGCTAAAAGGCAATGTAAACCATGCTCCTGGAAGACGAAACATATACTATATCCCAGGGTCAATGATTGGAGAGTTCATGCAACTTTTCTAATCATCTGAAGATGAGCAAATTTTTACAAAGGCAATGTACAAGTACAACAGAATCAGTTGGCACGGTTCTTCCTGTACCAACTGACAAAATAAAGAATAACTTTGCCTTGCAGGGTTTTCAACACGCACAAGGCAACCTAACAATGACCACCTTCCACCTTTGGTTTAAAGCAGTACCAGAAGGAAAAAGGCAGCGCACAACATTGTGCTTCATGCTGCAATGCCAAGAAATCTCAGTCAGATTAGTGAAAGAGAAAATCTATACTGAACGAAATATACAACCTGAAGCCAACTTTTGACCTTTCCACGGGGCCTCCAAGGAATGCAACCGATTTCCCAATGATTTCCAATGCTGGCAGTTTCATAGGGTAGATCTTCACCTTTTGAAAACATTCATTCACTTCCTTGGCAGAAGAGAAAACCACAAAAGGGAGGAGAGGTAGGGAGTTCATGACCCTCGATCTTCTCCTTGTCTCAGGGCAGAGCTTTTTATGAGAAGGAAGCTCTTAATGAAATTTCTTAAAAATGCAAAGTAATGCCTGCTAATTTCCTCACTTAATCTAATGTCACAGTTGGCCCCATTAACGCCAGCAGCTATTAGATACTTAAACAACCAGCTTGTTGAACTGCAATTTTATCATATGGCTGCATCCCTCCACTCCTCCCTTCCCCTGGTTTTGATAATGTTTCCTAATGACAGCTGCAATTTAAATCTCTGAAAGCCATCAAACTCTTAATCATCTCTGGAAAAGGAATACATTTAATGCTTTTTCCATTAAAATACACACACACACACATACCTGATACAAGAATGAAGTTCAAATATAGCTTGTGTCTAGTAATAAATGCTGCTTCTGAGTAGCGACATTTCAATTTCTTTCTTCTTTCCAAACAGCGATAATAAGGCAAAAATGCCATCCATTAAAACATAAACAGTAAAACATAAAGAAAGGTAATCTTAGCTCCACCCAACTAACAGCCTTGGACTCCTGATTTTGCAATATTGGACTTTATATTTTTAATAGGGTCAAGAGTGCAGTGACTGCCTAGCACAGTGACCTGCATAATTTATGGTTATCACCACAAAATATACCGGCAGTAATGGAGTTGTAAATAGGCCAGGATATCCTTTTCAGAAAGAGCAGAGCAATGGAAAAGCAAAGCCTGTATTTTCACTTCTTTTCAGGGATAACTACAACTTAGACTGAATATTTCTGTACGAGTCAGTAAATTTATTTATCATTTATTTAAAACTTTTCTATCCTGATCTTCTCTACCTCCGTAGAGGGACTCAGACTGGCTGACAGCAAAAATTCAATGCTAACACGAAAATCTAAAATATTATACATCAACATTAAAATTAACCAATACATATAGGATAAATTACATAACAGCCGTTTGCCAAGTTAAAATCATGTCAACTCAGTCTGTATATTCAGTCCATATATTGTGGTCAGTAACTTCGGTCAATTACCGGTCTCAGGCATCATTCCATAAAAGCTTCATTCCACAGCCAAGTTTTCATTAGCTTCCTAAAGGTCAAGAGGGAGGGGGCAGATCTAATTTCATTCGGGAGGGAATTCCATAGCTGAGTAGCCACCACAGAAAAGGCCCTGTCTCTCGTTCCCACCAAACACACCTGTGAAGGTGGCGGGACCGAGAGCAGGGCCTCTCCAGACGATCTTAATACTCTTGATGGTTCATAGGGGAGAATATGTTCAGACAGGTAAACTGGGTTGGACTGGATGACCCACATGGTCTCTTCCAACTCTATGATTCTATGATTCTATGATGAAACAGGTCTATACACACACACACACACACACACACTATTTATTTATTTATTTATTTGAGCATTTGTATCACCTCCGAGGATGGACTCAGGGCGGCTAACATCAGGCAACCATTAGATTCCACATAATACAATAAAATCCATCATCATGATTAAACAACAATTCAAACAACAATAACATTCAATTTAAAACAGTCCGCTAATTCAAAAAACTTAGTCCAAAACAACCATTCTGGTCACTTGTAATGTTATCTTCACAGACGCTACATTTATTGCTCAAATACTTGATCCCAAAGCCAGGTTTTAAGTTTTTTTTTGGGAAAGGTCGGGAGAGAGGGGCAGATCTAATTTCATTGGGGCGGGAGTTCCACAGCCGGGGAGCCACCACAGAGGAGGCCCTGTCTCTAGTCCATGCCAGTATTGCTTGTGAAGGTGGCAGGACCAAAAGCTGGGCCTCTCCGGATGATCTCAGTGTTATCATGACCTCTATATCCACCGGAATGGTAGCCATGGGGCCCTTCTACACTGCCCGTATATTCAAGGATTTGATCCCAGATTATCTGGCAGTGAGGACACACATATTCCTGTTTACAGCAGATAATCTGGGATCAGATCCTGGGATAAAGGGCCCTGTGAAAGGGCCCATGGTTTCATTTATCCACATCCAACAAGGCATCTTCTCTCTAGGCATTTTCTTTGTCACTATATATATATTAGATACACTTTATGACCCTTATCCACTAGAATGGTAGCCATGGGGCCCTTCCACACTGTCCCTAAATCCCAGGATCTGATCCCAGATTATCTGTTTATCCCAGGTTATCTGGCAGTGGGGACTCATATATTTTAGTTTAAAGCAGATAATCTGGGATAAAGAGCAGTGTGGAAGGGCCCATGGTTTCATTTATCCACGTCCAACAAAACATCTTCTCTCTAGGCATTTTCTTGGTCACTATATATGTATTAAATATACTTTATGATCCACTGCCCCATCCACCGGAATGGGAGCCATGGGGCCCTCCCACAATGCCCCTAAATCCCAGGTTATCTGGCATGGGGACTCATATATTGTAGTTTAAAGCAGATAATCTGGGATCAGATCCTTGGATAAAAGGCCACGTGGAAGAGCTCATGGTTTCATTTATCCACGTCCAATAAGACATCTTCTCTCTGGGCATTTTCTAGGTCCTCTTGCATGATTATATGATATTCTTAGGACAGAAGTCCTTCATTCCAATAGCATTTGTTATTATCTGTGTTTTTGTGTATCCTTGCAAAGTTTGGAAATATATCCCCTGAGATACAACTGGAAAATACTATTTTTGCCACACTTTTATGCCTATATTCAATATATGGAAGTAAATTTTCCCCTGTAAGTGAAAAGGAGCGCATCTCAATGTTATCACTGGTTTAAAAGAGAGATTCAATAGCTGACTGTCAGGGATTCTTTAGCTGCGGATTCCTCCCATGACAAAGCACGGGACAACATAAAATATAAAAGTACTTCTAACTTGACAGTTTCTGTGGGATATTTTGCATGGGATGTAGAGAGATATTTTAGAGATCACCTATATACAATAGTATAAGATTAAATACCAAGAAAGAGGGRAAAACCCTACAAAATAATAATAATAATAATAATAATAATAATAATAATAATAATAATAAAACTTTATTTATACCCCGCCACCATCTCCCCAAGGGATTCGGAGCGGCTTACATGAGGCCAAGCCCAACAACACATCAATAAAAACAAAAAGCAATAAACAAAACTATCAATACAATACAATTAATATAAATCACATATAAACAATAACTAATTCACAATAACAYACAAGAATTTAAAAACCTATAGCTGGGCCAAATCTAATAGTTTAAATTTAAAAATAAACGCTGGCATGAACAAGGTAGGGTATATCTGGTATAGRGTTTTAAAAGAAATGAGGGAGCGCAGTCCATCCTAAACCAATAGTAAAGTGCATTGTGAGGACATATTGCTGGGAATTTTCCTTATTCTGGGAAGGCACACTGGAACAACCACGTTTTCAGGCTCCTCCTAAAGACTGCCAATGTTGGGGCATGCCTGATGTCCTTGGGAAGTGAGTTCCAGAGTCGGGGGGCCACCACCGAAAAGGCCCTCTCCCTCGTCCTCACCAATCACGCCTGCGAAGGAGGCGGGAGCGTGAGCAGGGCCTCTCCAGATGATCGAAGAGATCATGTGGGTTCATACACAGAAATGCGGTCATATAGCTAAATTTGTCCTCCAAATTACAGAACTGCCTCTGCAAAACATCTCTCATGGAAATCTAAGAAATTACTGCAAACATCCAAAAAAGACAATGGATGAAGACAACAACTGGAAAACTATATCACAATAATGCATGTTTATTAGACCAATTTGGAGGAGTCCAGAAAGGGATGAAGGGGAAGAAAAGAGAAAGGGAAAAGAATGGAGAGAAAAGCCACTCTGTTCTTAAAACACCCATCACTGGAAATTGAGTGGTCAGATTCAGTAAGAATAATCTGCATATGTCTACTAAGAAACACATTCTGTATATGGATTATCCAGTGACTGGGGAGTAAACAAACAGATGGCATACAGATCCATACCCATTCTGCAAAGCATATTTTCATTTGAGCTATCAAGACTGCTCCCTATTTGGGCTGCACAGCATGGATTTCAATGAGCATTTCCATCACACTTTAAGAGCAAAAGACATACACATGTCATGCCCCAGTGCACACTGAGCACCTTTTCTATATGCAATGAATATAAAAAGAGCATGTCCTAGATGTCTGCAAATTTTTTGTTCTGCTTTGTAACGTTTTTGTAGCAAGAGAAAAGAATAAGCAACTTACCAGTTTCTTCATCAATGTTAAATCGGCCAAGTCCGCTGCCATCTCGAACCGAATACTGAATTTCCCCGTCCCTGCCATTGTCATCATCCCTGGCAGTCACTTGCAAGACACTGGTTCCAATGCGCGAGTTTTCCTTTACGGATCCAATGACAGCGAAGTCGGAAAAATAAGGGGTGTAGAGATTTTCGTTCACATCCACAACTTCCACTTCCACAAAGGAAACAGAAGAGAGAGAAACCGGACGCCCTTTATCCTTTGCTCGAACAGTCAAGTTGTAGAACTGTTGCTTTTCGTAATCAAGTTCTTTGCTCAGACGGATAGCACCACTAGCTTTGTCTATTTCAAATTTCCCATTGTAATCATTCACCAAGGAATAACGGACTTGTCCTCCAAGACCAAGATCTGGATCTTGGGTTTCGAGCCAAGCTATGACAGTACCAACTGGTAGATCTTCCAGGACCTTCACATTATAGCTAGGTGGTATGAAAGCTGGAGAACAGTCATTGACGTCATCCAAAAAGATTTTCAAAGGCACAACAGAAAACTGCTGTTGCCCATTCTCCGCTCGGTCTCTTGCTTCTATCTTGAGTGTATAGTTTGCCTTGAATTCTCGGTCTAAATGGTCAGCTACATATATAATCCCTGTGGAGCTGTTGATAACAAATTGCTGTGTATCTGTCAATATGGAGTATGTCACTTCCCCATTTGACCCTAGATCTCTGTCTCTGGCCTCAACCTGAATAATCTCTACACCAATGCTTGTACTTTCAAAAATATTAACCGAATAGCTTTCTTGCAAAAATTCAGGCCTGTTATCATTTGCATCCTCTACAGTTATGGTAAGAAGTCTCCACGTGGCCTTCTGGGGAGTGCCTAAGTCATATATTGTAATATTAAGGAGATAGAGTTCTGTTTTCTCGCGGTCCAAGGGCAAAAGGACCTTAAGGAGACCTGTCTCCATTTCAAGATTAAAGCAGCTGTCTACATTGCCATCTGATATGGTATAAAGCACTTTCCCATTAAAGCCAGAATCAGCATCATAGGCCTTGATTCGAAAGATAGTAGCACCAACAGGAAGGTCCTCCCTAACTGATACGTCATTAGGAAATGTTTTGTCAAAATGTGGAGGTTGCCTATTCACAGAATAAAAATCCAAGAAGCCATCTTCTGAATTCAGTTTTACGTTAGCTTTTGCTTTCTTCAGCAACTTTTCAGCTAGCCGCTGAGCAACTCTTGTCTCTCTGCAACTAAAGGTTTTGGAAGACACTTTTCCATGAACTACGGAAATATTGACAAACATGGAGTCAGCAAAATTCTCCCCATCCGTTGCTGTTATTCTAAGTCCAAAATTGTTGTTTTTGACACCACCACTAACCAGCGACTTCTTAAGTTGTAGAACCCCGGAATCGGGATTCAGATAGAAAAAACCCAGTTCGTTACCTGAAATGATTTTGTACTTCACAAGCTCCAACTCATCTATATCAATGGCAGACACAGCTGTGATGTGCCCACCCACAGGGAACTCAGACGAAATCACACCCTGACAAGCCACCTTTTCAAACAAAGGCTTGTTATCGTTTACATTGCCTATGTAGATTGTGACATTAACCTCGCTTTCGTGGCGGTAAGGTGATCCCCAGTCTGAAGCCCTTACAATAAACCTGTAGCTCTCTGGGGAGGATTCGAAATCCAGTTCTTCGGAAGTACTAATAATGCCAGTAAACTGGTTGATGGAAAAGGGGAGTGAATTTAAACTAGCAATGCTGTATGTGATATAGCCGTTTTCCCCACGGTCCTTATCAAAAGCAGAAACTGACAAAATAGTGGTCCCTACAGGTACACTTTCATTGACATAGGCACTGTATGATGGCTGTGTAAATTCTGGAATGTGATCATTAGCATCCTCTATCCTGACAGTAACATGTGTTTTTAAGTCCCCATCTTTGTTTACTACTTCTAAATCATAAAACTCCTTATCGACAATTTTTAAAGGCTGTGCAGTAGTAATCAGACCTGTCCTATGATTAATTTTAAAATATTCAGCATCTTCACTAGGCAATAAAACATATTCTTCCCCCTGGATTTCTGGGGATAGCTTAACAACAGCAACAACGACTCCCGGGGGAGAGAATTCACTGATGGCGACATCGTACATTTCCTTTTCAAATTTTACTGGGTTGCTTTCTCTTTTGGGACTAGCAATATGAACCAGTTTCAGAGCCGAAAACTTCTGAGGAGAACCTTTGTCCTTTGCCTGGAGAGTAAGGTTGTAACCATATGGAAAACTGTCCCAATCAATGGGTTTTTTCTCTTTGATTTTGTACTCATTCATCCATCTACCTTCTTTAGCCAACTGGAAGTGTTCCAAGGGATCTCCAGCAACAATAATAAGCGATTCAATCTCACCATTGGCACCTTCATCGAGATCATCGACATTAATGATAGCATATGTTGGCTCCTTGTCCAAAGAGAAGGGAACGTGGGTTACTACACTGATTGTGGGGGCATGCTCATTAATGCGCTCAATATGTATGTAAAGTTTGGCAGTGCTGCTTACTCCGTTGTTCCCATAGAGTTTCATCCCACGATCCACAGCCAGAACTTCCAAGTCATAGCGATTCTTCTCGTCATAGTTCAGCCGGCCACTTAAGGAGATCACACCACTTGTTGGATGGACAGCAAAGAGCTCAACTCTATTTTTAAAGTAATAGTAAAATTCCCCATTAGAGCCAATATCAGCATCCGTTGCTGTAACCTGTGCTATACTAGTCCTTAAGGGAGTGCTTTCTGCTATTGTGACTGAGTAGGTAGTGGGTGAAAACAAAGGCCGCAAATCGTTCATGTCCAAAACCTGTACGTTCACTTTTGTCCACGCTTCCAAGTCTTCTCCACGGACGGAACCTTTTATTACCAATAAATAGTTGTCCTGGATTTCTCTATTCAGTATCGCAGAGTTCCCACCTTTAGTTCTTATCCTAAGAAAACAGAAATCGGCTATTACAACTTCCTCTGCTTTAAAAAAGCCTTCATCATCGCCAGATACAATCCTGTATTTGATATCCCAGGAAAGGTCTGCCATAATGATGCCCATCCTATTTTTACTGTTAAGGTAGGTCCGTGCTGCAGAGTTCTCATATACTGTGGCATTGTACATGGAATGTGTGAAGTGGAAGCCAGGCGGGAGAGTCCCTTGAAGGCCATGGCACACACCGGCCCAAAGCTGGACAAGCAGGAGGATGACACCAGATGTGGGGGCCAAAGGACCTGACCAATGGCCCATATTTATCTCCATCACATCATTCTTTCATCCTTGAAAGAAGAAAGAAAAGATGGCAATTGGTTAGTGCCAAATAAAATACATTGTGCAAATCAAAACAATTTTATTCATTATAAATAAACATCTCTCTGTATTCTGTCCCATTATTTAAACAGCTGGCCACAATCTACATGAACAACCTAAAAGACGCTAATCAACCAGGAACTTCAGCATTTCTTACAGTAACTGTGGATTGGCAATTCTTTTCCCAAGTTTGCTAGGGATGCCATGTTTGTGCCACATTACTGTCAGCCTCTCATATCCATGGATTCAACCACCGATGACCTTGAAAATATTTATTTTTTACCCAATGCTAAATTTTCATTTTGCCATTAAAGGACCCCACTTTACTATCCTATTGTATATAAAAGGACTTGAGTATCTATGGATTTTGGCATCCACCAGAGGTCCTGAAACTAAATGATAATACCAAAATTTGACTGTATTATCATTATTTGCATCAGGTTGCTGTCGGTTTTTCGGGCTGTATGGGCTCCTGACGTTTTGCCTGCATCTGTGGCAAGCAACCTCACAACCTCTGATGATGCTTGCCACAGATGCAGGCGAATTGTCAGGAGAGAATGCTTCTAGAACATGGCCATACAGCCCAAAAAACCTACAACAACCCAGTGATTCCAGCCATGAAAGTCTTTGACAATATTATTGGCAACATTTCTTGGAAATTCATCACAGACTAACAGCCAATAACTCACACACTAGCATTAGCCCGTTGATCACCACTTTAACCAACATAGTGTTGCACAATCAGCCACATCTTTGCATCCCCAGATGTTAAGAGGGAAAAATGATTTAAGCTGTCCATCATGGACTTTAACTTTTGAAGTTCTCAGGATGGACATATGGAAATACAGGATTATGCAAATGGGTTGTAATGAAACACATTAGAAGAAAAGGTTGGAAACCTGCCCCAACTTCTAAGGTCATGAAAATCACAGACCAGAATTTATCATGACCAAATGACCTCTTATTATTCCAATGGACTCTTATGGGGAAAGGCATTTGAAACAAGAACTTGAGACCATGTTGTGGTGTTATCAAAACCTGCCCGATAGCCATGGCTAGGATAACGAAGCAATTAAGACTTAGTGATGCAATTATATTTCAAATATGAATGGAGAGCAGATACAACAGCCTCCAATGTTTGATAGGATAAATGTACAGACAAAGCATCTGCAAAAAAGCGTAAATTCCCTAAAGCTTCCAGATTCTTCTGATCTTGAAGATAAGTACAGCTTGTTCTGGTTGATAGTTGGGTGGAGGACTGCCAATGAATGCCAGATGCTGTAGGCAACTGTTATTCAGAGGAAGGAACTGGCAAAAACACATCTGAGTATTAGGAGCCCTCAGTGGCACAATCGGTTAAATCAGACATCCTCAAACAATGGCCCTCCAGATGTTTGGTCCTCCAACTCCCAGAAGCCCTAACAAGCTTGTTCAGTTGTCAGGAATTCTGGGAGTTGAAGGCCCAAACAGCTGGATGGCCGGAGTTTGAAGATGCCTGGGTTAAACCCTTTTGCTGGCAGGAATGAAGACTGACAGGTCGGAAGTTTGAATCCGGGGAGAGAGCGGATGAGCTCCCTCTGTCAGCTCCAGCTCCCCATGCGGGGACATGAGAGAAGCCTTCCACAAGGATGGTGACACATCAAAACATCCGGGCATCCCCTGAGCAACATCCTTGCAGATGGACAATTATCTCACACCAGAAACGACTTGCAGTATCTCAAGTCGCTCCTGACACATATGCAAAAAAAAAGAGTATTCTTGTCTAAGAAAATCATGGGGTCATTATAAGTCAACAGGAGATTTTTAGGCACATACATACACAAAACATTAGTAATAATCATCCTCGGTTAATTTCAGAGGCCTGCCAGGGCTAATGCCTGGCACAGACTGAGCCCAGTTTCCCACACATACATACAGATTTTTTTTATACATAGTGGCCAGCTGCCATAATTTTAAACGACCTGCAAAATTCCCTGAAGTGGCAAAATGTCAGGGCATTGCTAACCTGTCCATCAGAGTGATTGACATTTTGTCAGTAAAAGGGGGGAAAACCCAGCAAGAATGGCACGGTGTACTCTCTGCCTGAATAAATTCCCCCTTATAAGAAGTCTTATGCATGTGTGTGCGTGCTCAAAGCAGACCAAGACAGCATGAGCTTTCTATTAGCTTTACTAAAGGATATTGAACCACAATGCAGAAGAACAAAACATGCACAGGCTACTTGTCTAAAAAGCACCATGTTATGGATTTCCTGATTCTTCCTTGAAGCTTGGCTACTTAATCACACATACGAAGTTAATAGACTTTAACATTAAAAACATCCATAGTTGCAGACTGTGAAGGCACCGTATATGGTGGCACGGCGGTAACTGTAGAGTGCCTTTAAAAGATACCAAATGGTAAGAGTGCAGGGGGAAGAGGGGAAGATGATGTTCTTGAAAACTGTAACATACAGTGGGAAATTTCTACACAAGCTGTGCAGAATTGTTATATCAAGATTTCAGGGCCAGTCTCATTCCTTTAAATGAAATTTAATTCTATAACCCTGCTGCTGGTTTTAAGCACTAGCTGAAATCGATTTATTGCAATGATGTTATAACACTCCCACAAAGCACCTTAGCTCCAGCCCTCGGAGTCTATATTTGGTTGTATAGCACATTAATCAGTCGTCCCTGATCAACTCTCCTATGTGTTTTATCAAGACATACAGCTTTTTCACTGTATTTCCTTTCACAAATTACTTCTTCTTTTGGCTTGTACTGGTTCCCGGCAGTTTGGAGAGCTAAAAAACGAATTTCTTCTGAGATTGAAAAAAATGGTTATCAGATACGGTACTGGACATCATAGACAAATGCTGATTACTGCATAATCCAACATCAGTCTTGCATACATACTATTATCAAACTAAAGGAAAGGAGATTCCATCTGAACATGAGGAAGAACTTCCTGACTGTGAGAGCCGTTCAGCAGTGGAACTCTCTGCCCCAGAGTGTGGTGGAGGCTCCTTCTTTGGAAGCTTTTAAACAGAGGCTGGATGGCCATCTGTCAGGGGTGATTTGAATGCAATATTCCTGCTTCTTAATGAGACATGCCGCATTATCACGGGGTGTCTGCGCCCTACACCACTGGAGAAATTACACTGCTTAGCCGGTATTGCACCACCTGACATCCGCCGGGAAGCAGCAGCCAATAGTGAAAGGACCAAGGCAGAGACATCTCCAGCTCATCCCCTGTTTGGGTATCAGCCAGCACGTCAACGACTTAAATCTAGAAATAGTTTTCTGAAGATCTACAGAGACACTCGCTGGAACACCTCAGCAAGCGAGAGTCCAAAAGTGGCAGGCTCAAACCCAGAACCTCAACCAATGGCTGATACCAGATGAGAGACTCCCCCCTGGGCACACAGAGGACTGGGCGACTTGGAAGGCGCTGAACAGACTGTGCTCTGGCACCACGAGATGCAGAGCCAACCTTCAGAAATGGGGCTACAAAGTGGAATCCACGACATCGAGTGGAGAAGAGCAAACCACTGACCACCTGCTGCAATGCAACCTGAGCCCTGCCACATGCACAATGGAGGACCTTCTTGCAGCAACACCAGAAGCACTCCAAGTGGCCAGATACTGGTCAAAGGACATTTAATCAACTACCAAACTCATAAATTTTGTATTCTGTATTTTGTATTTTTGTATCTTGTCTGTTTTTGCTTTGTTCTGTTAGAAATGTAATATAAATGACTGGTTGCTGATGACTCGATAAATAAATAAATAAATTCCTACTTCTTGTCAGGGGGTTGGACTGGATGGCCCATGAGGTCTCTTCCAACTCTATGATTTTATGATTCTATCTCCCAGGGTTGAAGCATAGGCTGCATCTACCACTGAAAATTGTCTACCAGTGTCCAGATCACCATTCTTGTTCCTACACATGGATCAGCAGCCATTACATCAGCTCCTCTATCTGAAAAGATCATACATCCCAAGTGGGGGAGAGAAAAAGAAATGTAAACTATGGTGGCCCTTAATCAGCATGATAAATATTTCCAACCCATATGTTAAGCAGAAAATCATCTCCCAAGTGAAGTTTTCTGCGGCAAACTTAAATACATTACACCATCTGCACCCCTGGGACTGATATCTATGGTTTCACATGCCCACATCAGACAGAATATATCATCTTTAGGAATTTTCTAGGTCCTCCAGTCAATGTTATGCTTCCATCAAGAGTTAACAGAGTTGTGCTGGTCTTCCAGTAGAACTCTATATTAACGCCTTGGAGATTAGGATGCGGAACAATGGCTTCAAACTACAAGAAAGGGGATTCCATCTGAACGTTAGGAAGAACTTCCTGACAGTGAGAGCCATTCAGCAGTGGAACTCTCTGCCCTGGAGTGTGGTGGAGGCACCTTCTTTGAAAGCTTTTAAACAGAGGCTGTATGGCCATCTGTCAGGGGTGCTTTGAATGCAATTTTCCTGTTACTTGGCAGGGGTTGGACTGGATGGCCCATGAGGTCTCTTCCAACTCTATGATTCTATGATTCTAGGGTCATATAGACAATGGGGTTAGTATTATCCATGATGAGTTTAGAAACAAATCTTTCATGGATGCAGGAATCCTATTGTATTTGATTTAGCTTGTGAAACATTGCAAACTAGTCTCATCAATGTGAAAGGTTAGTGAAAGTTTAACATAAAATACCTTCTTCTTTGAAAACAAGATTCAGATAAAAAATACAGACAGTCCTCGAGTTAAAAACTTCTGACTTCCAAATGACTCAAACTTAAGAACAGGGGTGAGACAACATGAAGTGAGAAAAATCTACCCCCAAGAAGGAAAATTCATTCCTAGAAGAGTTATCATGGGAAAGGGGTCTTTACTGAAACTTTATCACTAATCCTTGTTCCCACATAAGCCAAATTTTTCAAAATCCAATTATCACAGGGACAGAAAGTGCAGTAAAATCTTCCAA